TTAGGCCAGGACAAGCAACAGGGAATGGAGGGTTCATACCTGCATGACGGCCCTGTGCTCATAGGCCGCCACACATGCTCCGGTCTCGAAGTAGGCGCTCTCCGGCAGGCGCATGTGATTCAGGCGCGTGCGGTCGCGAATGAGAGACAGGCGCCTGCCCATACACATCAGTTCAGCGGTGGCAAAAGGGCAGAAACATGTCAGTAATAGGACAGAACTTATGGTTTGAGTAAATGTGACGAAGAGCAACGAATCCAATCCCCAAAACACTGACCTGTCCATCTGCTTCACACGCCGCTTCTTCATCTTGCGCACGACAGCCACAATGTGGCTCATGATGCCCAGGTCCGCCTGGTGCATGATGTCAGGCATCACCACGAGGTAGGGATTGCCCCACGCGGTCCCTGGGACATCCCATTTCCAGAGCACGCACTGGAAATGGGGATGTGGTGGGGAATGGAGGAGAGATGTACGTGAGAGTGGATAGCTAACCTAAACCACAAGTGGGGTGAGTTCAATGGGGCAGAGCACATCTGGCAATTCATGACGGGGCGGGCGAGAGCATAGACTACTCATGGGCCGGGGAAACAGGTCACTCACCTCAACAGGGTAGGTAGAGTAGGCCTTGCACGGGTCAGCCTGGCTAGTTGTCGTCCCAGCCGCCTCGTTAACGATCCATTGCTGCTGTTCAGGCGTGCGCGGCGTGTTCCGTGCCTTGACAGCACTCAGATGCTCCTGTTGTAGCACGGGGGTGAGGGATGGGATAGAAAAGGTAAGGGTGGTAGCTATGTGGGTTCTATCAGGCGACCCACAAACGAGAATGTATTTGAATGCGTGCAGATGGCATGTGACCTCACCTTTGCAGCATAGCAGATGCTGCACGGCATCCGCGATCCATGCGAGAGTGTGCAACTGATCTTGCCGCTCTCGGGGTAGTCGCACACCCAGGCGTACAGCAGGGGCCGCACGGTTTGCCAATCACCGAAAGGGTCCCTGAGACGGAACCCGCTGCAAGGAACAGGTAGAGGGGCAACAGGAATTCGGGTTACGGCTTTTAGGGAGGAACGACGAGGGGCAAAGGGCCATGCTACATACAGAGAGGGTTTGCACACCATGCAGGTGGTGAGATGATGTCTTAGCAAGATGCAAACCGAGTACGGACCTGGCGATGCCATCAAGAAGCGGCTGCAGCACGGTGATGACGCAACGCTGGAAGAGCATCACCTTCTCCACAGCAGACATTGCAGACGGGGGGATAGGAAGGAGGGCAAGTAGTGTGTGCTCGGCTTTCCCCCATCGCTTGGCCTGGGAGATGTTGGCCAGCGTCATCATGAGCGGCCACGCCTTCTTCCGGCCGTTGATGCTCATGTGCGTCACATCCGAATATAAGATGACCCCCCCCACAACTTCGGACCAACCGAAGTGTTCCTGCAGTGCACGACAAAGCGGCAACGGACACACGGTTTAGGGCTCAAGATGCTCTTGACAGATCAGTGCAGCGATGGAGGCATGAGGAAGGATTGGGTTTGGGGTGGCAACGTGGTCTTTCTTTACCTGAGCATCGTTCCACCACGTTCCTGTTTCAGGCGTGGTATAGCGATGGCCGCCTGCGTCAGGGTCCTCATCAACACGCGCCTTGAGCTTGAAGCCGGGCGCGTTGTTGGGATGTCCAAACATTTCAGCGAATGCCTGGTGTACGGTGGCGAAGGCAGGTGAGAGGAGAGGCATGGTTAGTGGTGGTGAAGGTGGGTGTACGGTTAATACAAGGATAACTACGTACATGCAAACCCTGTGTGCCTCATCATCATTTCACGGCCTTGAATGCAAAGTCGGCTTACCTGGGCTGAGTTCTGAAAGAGCAAGCGCTGTGGTGGATGACCGTCAATCTCGAAGGTCGCCACCGACCATCCGCGATTGAGCCCTGCCAAACGCTCCATCTCGAACCGCTCCAGATCCTTACAGTTCCGGAGCTCCGAGATCACAAGAGGCGCAAGGCCGGGCTCTACGACTAGCTGAAGCAGGCCGTTGATGTCAACCTCGGCCATTCCCATTCCGCCATTCACGCGCCAAACGAAATGCAGCAGCTTCAACGCGAGCGGATTGAGGGGCATGGCATTGCTCTGTCCGGAGATGATTGTTGGCGGTGCGGCATGACTCCCTTCGGGCCGGCTCTCAGGATGGTCACTCGTGTCAGCCGCAGGAGCTCCTGGTTGTGGTTGATGTTCATCTTCAGGAGGCCCCTCGTTCACGTCGTTGGGAGTTTCGTCAACGTGAGCTTCAGGCACGCGTGGAGGACCGCTCACACTGACGGCGTTGGGTGCGTTAGACGCTGTAGGTGAACCGGGAGCGGCTGGAGCGTCCGACAGAATGTCGTGGACGAATAGCAGAGCGTGAAGACCGGCGGTCGGTGCAGATCGCGTCGGCCTTGCCACGGCGGATAGTCCTTGGCAAGGGGTCCGCCGTGACTTATGACCGCCAAAAACTTGGGCGTTGGGGAACCATCTGTTGCAGAACTCGCAGACGACGCCTGGTAAAGAGCCCATGTGTTACGGATCCGTTGTAGAGTCGAGAAATCGCCTATGAAGCTACTAGCCGTGATGAAGCTTGTGAACGCATTAAGTACTCCGTTCAAGAAGCCTGTGACAGCTACACGATCATCGCCAATGCGCGCACTGTGGTGGGCGGCTTGTATCACTGCACGACTGGCACTTGACATTGGCGCTAATGTTTATGACTGGCTAACGATGTCGAGCCGCGTGGTCGTTACCAGGCACGATACAGACCGCCCACCTCACGGGCCGTCTTCCCTACAAGGCGTGTCGCCCCCGTTTAGAGTGACCACGACGTGAGCAGAGGAGAATGCGGAGGATCTTAAGTCTCACGGTCGTGTGTGTGCGTCGCGAGCACGGTGAGAAGGACGTGCCTATTGAGTCAAGAACTTGTGCTTAGGAACCGTGCGTGAGAGTCGAGGGGGATGAGGAAGAGCGGGAAGATATCCGTTTGGATCTGTGATTGTGTCGCGAATCGATACAGGGGGGAAATCAGAATCATGTAGGTGAGCTCAAGAGGCTTCAAACAAACATGGAAATGAAAATGTACAATTACAACTTAACAAGACACTCAAGTCATTCATAACTAGTAAACATTCATATCCTTAGGACTGATGTTGAACAACCCTTACTTGATAACGATACGGGAAGTACCCAATAACTCCATGCCCTAACGTATGATTGTTGCGTGGAGCGAATACCTATAGCGTGTCTTCTCTCGAGGTGTAGTGTACCTCTACGCACCGTGCTGAATGAATATGCAAGAATGGATGACAATGTCGTACAATAACACAACGGTTTCAATGTCCATGCAATGTTGGATGACAATGCAACACCATACCACAACGGATTCACCATGTCGCGCAACCCGCAGGCCTGAACGCTGCATCGTTGCACAGTCTAACCATGGCTGTCGATAACGCATCTACGCTTGTGCGTTGGGCCTGTGCTTCATACCACTCCTTCTAAGCACCTTGTTTAATGTCTGTGCAAGAATGGATGCCAATGCAACACCATACCACAACGGATTCACCATGTCGCGCAACCCGCAGGCCTGAAAGCTGCATCGTCGCACAGTCTAACCATGGCTGTCGATAACGCATCTACGCTTGTGCGTTGGGCCTGTGCTTCATACAACTCCTTCTAAGCACCTTGTTTAATGTCTGTGCAAGAATGGATGCCAATGCAACACCATACCACAACGGATTCACCATGTCGCGCAACCCGCAGGCCTGAACGCTGCATCGTCGCACAGTCTAACCATGGCTGTCGATAACGCATCTACGCTTGTGCGTTGGGCCTGTGCTTCATACCACTCCTTCTAAGCACCTTGTTTAACGTCTGTGCAAGAATGGATGACAATCCAACACCATACCACAACGGATTCACGTTTGTTACTATTGATAATCGTGTTAGAATGTCGTCCGCTGGCCCTAAACCATTGTGGCAAAGCCTAAAAGTGCACAGTACATCTGTCACAAGTAATAATTCTGGACGGTCGTTGTGTGTGTGACGTAAGAATCACCGATTAACTTACCCCAACCCCGTGGTAAACCATTTGCAACTTAGAGTTTGATGAAATGCATTGTTGTATGTTTGAATAAAATTTAGTGATTTATGCGTTGGCAACCGTGATTGGCCGACGCATCTCAAACGATTCCCCCCGCAACACAGTCATCAGCCAAGAGGTACTTCAGCCATTGAGCGGCTGAGATCGAGCGGTAGGTGGGTTTATGCTAGGGTGGCTACACGTACACCGTCCAATATAGCCTGATAGGGTTACATTTTCTCTCTAGTCTCGCAACCCACCCCAACCACCCTCGTGTCCCACCCACCTGCTTCCGTCACTCCCTGGACCAACACTTTGACGCTGCTCGTTGCCTTGACACACGCCTCTCCAGATCGGCCTTAGCGCGAAGCATAGTGGCTACTATGACAGATTTAGTTGAAGCGGCGGTTTTCGGAAACACATAACAGTGATAGACCGTCGATAATCCCATCGTGGGATTCAGTTGCAGAACCCTTTCGAAACCGGCTCAACCCTTCCGCGCGATTTGCAACTTTGCTCCTCCTACAATTACCATGACACGTGCAACACGTAACCAAGCAATGGAGGAGGAACAGGCCGGCCGCCGCGCGACAAGGAGGACGTCTAAACAAATCGATAGGGAGTGTGGTGGCGGCACTAAAAAAACTAATGCGTCCGTCGCTCGTGGCATTGGGCAGAAAAAAGCGGCGGCAAAAAAGGTCGCGCGCGGTCAACAGGAGGCCGGCAAGAAAGCGGAAGACAAGGGGCCTAAACCAACGCCACGCAAGCGTGTTTCTACAGTGAACAAAGATGCGGATGTTGCCTCTGCTGGAACCGAGCCCGGTCCGAGTAAAGACGGCACCACTGGCAGCAACGAAGATCCGGGGCGAGGGAGCGCAAGTCTTGCACTCCCGTCGGCGGAGATGGAGGGATCGGCGACGGAGGGAAATCACGGAGGCGATCCCCGCGCCGAGCATGCCGCAACCAAGGAGTCCGAGGCGGCGGCAACGCAACACCATCTGACGCTGCTCCAGCCGACCGTGGTCGAAGTTTCTGCAGCCGTGCTGGATAAGGACAAGGTGGGGGAGCACGAGTCGGTGGGGCTGGTCGGTGGCTCTCCACCTTCTGGTGGACGGGGGAGGCGTAGGCAGAGGAAGAGCGATGGGGAGGACGATTATGACACCGCCGTACCCGGGGACCTCATTACGCGGGCGAAGAGGCGGCAGACGACAGGTAGTGCTGACGACGCCGGTGGCGCGGCAGTTGGGACACCGCGAGGCGCCAAGGAAGCTAGTGGCAAGGCGGGCGGTCAAGCATTGCGCCAGAAGGGCCGACCCGCAGCAAGAAAAGCATCCGGCGGAAGGAGAGGCAAGAAAGCAGCGACGGGAACAAAGCCGAAACGGGGCGATGAAGACCCCGGTGATGCGGAGGAGGAGGAGGATGAGGAGGAGGATGCGGAGGGAGAGGAGGATGAAGAGGAAGCGGAGGAGGATGACGCGGATGTTGGGGAGGATGAAAAAGATGAGAATGATGGTGGGGAGGACGAAGAGGAGGAGGAGGAGGAGGAGGAGGAGGAGGAGGAGGAGGAGGAGGCAGAGGAGGAGGAGGAGGAGGAGGAGGAGGAGGAGGAGGAGGAGCAGGGTGACGACGAGGAGGAGGATGTGGAGGAGGAGGAGGAGGAGGCAGCGGAGGAGGAGGAGGAGGAGGAGGAGGAGGAGGAGGAGGAGGAGGAGGAGGAGGAGGAGGATGTGGCGCCAGTGAAGGGACGGGGCGGGCGTGGCAGACGGGTGGGTGGTACAAGGAAGGAGGGGGGCCGGACTCGCCCTTCCCGAAAACGCGGGGCAGTTGACGCTGCGCGCGGCGAAGCATCGGGCAAACCGAAGACGCATAAGGTGAAGGTCGAAAGTGAAGGGGTTGGTAAAAAGCAAGGGAGCCAGGGAGCAAAAGGGGATGGAGGAGGAAAGGGTGGCCGCGCCAAAGGGGTTCCAGTGGGTACCAGCAAGAAAGAACCTGCCGGTAAACTGGGCAGCGTCCACCAAAGCACCCCGCGGAAAGGTGGCAACGAGAAGGCGCAGGCTGCCCCAAAACCGAAGGGACAGCAGAAAGGTGAGCATTGTGTCCAATAAAACTGGCGTGACGTGTTGAACCATCTGCTAAACCGTGCCAAAAAACACCATTTTTTCACATTGTTTCTCCCATGCAGGGAAGGAGAAGGTCGACGAATCTGCCAAGCAAGGTAAACCCTCTTGTCTCAAACCAGTACAACCCTGAACCCGATCTAGATTCAAACCTTTCTGAATATGCATGCATGTCTGGCCCCGCCTTGAAACCGATCGACTCTAATTTTTTTTCCGGCTCCCTCTACATCTCAGCCCCTCGCGTTACAGGCATTGGGCCGCCCGTAAGCGTGCAACGAATGCATCTAACGAAGGCTGCCGGAAGAGCGAGTGTTACACCGCTCTCCTCCGGAGCACCAAGGTACTACACGCCATGGGCCGGCCCGAGCAAAGTCGCTGCGACGGCACCAGGCGCGCCAAGAGGAGAGGAATCCGAATCCCCTCCACCCGCCCCCGTCACGCAGTCCCCACTCGCCTCACCCTCGTACCAATTTCGGCAACTCTACGCTTCTCCTGTCCGGGGCAGGGCGGTCTCCCCTCTCGCCGATCCTTCGCGCGGGCATCAGGCAGGCAGTTATGCCAATCCCTTCCCTGAGCTCCCCTTTTCCCGCCAGCGTGATAGTGTGAGGGCACACGGGACTGCTGCAGAAGACGTTGATCCCCTTGGCCAGAGGGGGGATTCTTCATACCCTTTTCCTCCGCTCATGGGTGCCCTAGGTGAAAGTGCGGAGCACGAGCAGTTTGTTACACGGGAGGAGTTCCAAGCGCTGCGGTCTGAGATGTACGCCATGTTTGCACAGCTCGGCCTGCGTCGTGGAGTACCTGCCAGCTATGCCGGCGGGTCGGCAGCCCTGCCTATGGCTGGTACCCCGCCGCCGATGAGCGCCGTGGACAAGGCACGAGTGCTAGTGTTGCAGGAGACAAACCCATTCCCGGTATGTGGCGGGCCACATGGGGAGGGTTGGGGTTGACGTGGCAACAAGGGCGGGGTTGGGGCTGACGTGGCGGTTTCGAAGGGAACACGGGAGCGGCGCGTGACGAGGCGACGCGTATCAGGTGGGTGGGGGGTGACGTGGCATGGGGTGGGTGGGTGTGACGTGGCAAGTGGCGCGGGTTGTTGGTGGACGTGGCGGATGCGGGTTGGGTGTGACGTGGCAAAAGGTGAGGGTTGGGATATGACGTGGCGGTGTGAAAGGGTGCAAGGGAGTGCCGCATGACGGCGCGAGGCGTTTCAGGTGGGTGGGGGGTGACGTGGCTCTTGGTGGGGGTGTGACGTGGCAAGTAGGGCGGGTTTTTGGCGGATGCAAAAGGGTGTGACGTGGCAGAATGTGAGGGTTGGGGCTGACGTGGCGGTTTGGAATGGTACACGAGAGCGGCGCGTGACGAGGCGACGCGTGTCAGGTGGGTGGGGGGTGACGTGGCATGGGGTGGGAGGGTGTGACGTGGCACGTGGGGCTGGTTGTTGGTGGACGTGGCGGATGCAGGAGGGTGTGACGTGGCACGTGGGGCTGGTTGGTGGACGTGGCGGACAAGGAGGGTGTGACGTGGCACGTGGGGCTGGTTGGTGGACGTGGCGGATGCAGGAGGGTGTGACGTGGCGGAAGGTGAGGGTGGGGGATGACGTGACAGATGCAGGTGGGTGTGACGTGGCGGAAGGTGAGAGTTGGGGATGACGTGGCACCCTAAAAGGGTACACGTGAGCGGCGCATGACGAAGCGAGGCGTCTCAGGTGGGTGGGGGGTGACGTGGCTCTTGGTGGGGGGTGTGACGTGGCAAGTAGGGCGGGTTGTTGGCGGATGCAAAAGGGTGTGACGTGGCAGAATGTGAGGGTTGGGGCTGACGTGGCGGTTTGGAATGGTACACGGGAGCGGTGCATGACGAGGCGACGCGTGTCAGGTGGGTGGGGGGTGACGTGGCAAGTTCAAACAGTGTTGCTAGTCACCATCCCATGGTCACGCGACCACCCTCATAACTGCTGGTTTCTCTCTTCCATGTTGTGTTGTATACCTTACACCCCTGCGCAGAACAAAGCCTACTTAGTGTGCTCTCAGCTCATGTTTCTGAACCCGCCGGAGAAAATACAGTACTACCCTGCACCGGAGGAAGTGTTCGAAGCGTTCTCTGTCCACTTGTCTGCAGAAGGGATCGAGGTAATGAAGCTGCTGTGGTTGCACAATGACAAGTCAACCATGGGAGTCTTCAACCACCAGCTGTCCTCAACAAGGTCAAATATCAACTCCACCCTCAGGCCAGCAGCATACACCGGCATGGGCCTTGCCGATTACAGCCATCTCGTGGATAGCCTGCCCACTGAGCTACACCCAACGACCTGGTTCGACGACGATAAACTCCTAGCCGAGTACAGAGATGGTATGTGCAGTGCAACTCGAAAACACAATATGCCCTACCATATGCCCCTTGGCAGCTACATATCACCGTGCGATGTGGCTCACCCTGACTCTCATCCCCCCATTTGATTTCTCTGCAAAACCCTTTCCAACCCATACCCTCCCTGCCAAAAAGCAGAACAGTGGGCCCTCAACTGGCACTTTGACAAGGCCACCGGGACACCCTTCAGCAACCCCTTGTTCGCTTATGCGTTCAAGCTCTCCTTCAAGAGGGGCGGGGCGGTGTTCACCAAGTTCAAGAGCCGCATGGTGGCATGGGGCCTGTTATCGGTAAGGATGTAGATATGTGTTTGTACCCCCATGCCTCATCCCCTTAACCCCTTGCCTGTACTTTAGCTAAAACCCTGGTCGATTAGGCCTTTGCAGTTACGTAGATAGTGACGACTGCATCACCGCTTTCAGTTGCCTCATTTACCCGTAACCTACCCTCCTCATAAACCATCCACCCAACCCTACACCACATTGCAGATCCAATGGCCCCTTCTGCAGGATAAGCGTCGCAAGCGAATCAGTAGCCAGCCGGAGCAGAACAGGCCAGACTACCAGGAGTGGTGCGAAAAGGTCAAACAGATGATCCATTTTGCTGTCGTGGAGCGGAGGATCCCCCACGATCCGGCTATGGGTGCGTTCGTCTTTCCGAACAAGTTCCTCATCGACGACGGCAACCTTGGAGATGTCGTCCTTGCCCACCGGGCGCTTTCAAGGCCCGCCAGTGCGTAGGCTATTTGACCTGGTGTTAAGACTGCTTGTTGCTAGAATGCTGAATAATGGTTCTTGTAAACCACAATAATAAATGCAATTTTGAAATCCTCAATATCCAAAATGAACAAAAACAGAATTTAGTTTTGAATAATTTGGTCACGAATTTGCAACAAAACGGATTGCGCCCGAATGTCATCCGGAAAAGCTCGCGTGCCAAATTGGAACTTGAACCGAGCCAAACCTTGTCGCGAGATGTGTCTCGGAGCTCCTATCAAATGACTCCAACCGTCGGTCCAAATTGGCTCCGGATTTTTTTACGCGAAGACAATCGAAATCAAAATTCGTCCAAACTTGGCATAGGGTTTTTGTGATGTCTTGGCACTCCTCCCTTTCACCGCTCACTGCTCACCTCTCACCGCTCCTCGCGCCGCTCCTTTTGATTCACCGTGCCCCTCCATACTCTATTCTCTCCGCCTTACTCCACTCTTGTCTTGAACCATCCTAGCTTGTCAGACGGATCCCTCGCACGTCACGTCACGTCACGTCACGTCTCATTGCTCCACGTGTGCATGCTCCATCTCACCTCACTTTTCATCTCCTTTTTTTGTCCTCATCCCATTATTTCCTCTCTGTTCCTTCCTAGCGAGGACAACCCCGAGCACTTCGCGTCAGCTTCGAGGTTCGGCGTACACTTCGGCCCGAACCACTCCCGAGCGCCCCGCACCAATCGCGACACTTCCAAACCATCCACGTCCCGAGGTCCTCGCCTAGCACGGTTTCGACCCTATAAATGCTTGCTTCTTTATCATTCTCGACATTCTGTAGTTTTCATCCTTTTTATGAAGTCTTCCGCGCACTCTTTTAGTGCAACTCATAATACTTGGTATCAGAGCTACTTTCCTAGGTTCCCCGTTTTTTAGAGTGTATTACCCCTCGGGGGGGGGGGGGGGGGACAAGGAAGGATGCCGTGGTGACAGGAGCAGCGCAAGAGCTGGCCAGGAGAACGGGTAGTTGCTCCTAGCGACCATAATTTTTCAAGGCACTATTGCGGCACCGACGGATCCTTGCCCTCGACGGTCGAGATGGACCGTGACCTCCCTCCCCCGGGTGGTGGGCAGCTATGGCTGTCGCACATTAATTACGTGAGTTAACTGTTTACGATTTTCGTCAATCTTGGACTTTGGCTTTTGTGTAGCGGCTGACGTCGGCAGACTCGTCGTCGGCGCACGTCCGAGATCGTCGGGAAAAAACGTTGTGCGAGTTGGCGTCACTACATGGCGTCAACTGCACGCGAAGAAATCGGAGTTAATGCGTGCGGCAAGTGGCATCAGGCGTCTTCGTCACGTTGCGCACGAGAATCTCGGAGGTCTTCGGCACGTTGTGAGCATCGTCACTGTGCGCGAAGATTTCGGGTGGCTTCACGTGTAAAACGACAGCTGGTCGGGCAGGCCAGGCGCATGGTGATTTGCGTCGGAAAATGCAATGGAGAGGAGAGACGGCTGTCAGAATCCCAACCACTAGACCATTGGGATAAAAGGGCTTGTTTACGTAGCGGGTGAGTGCGCCCATAACCCCCCAGGCCACCGTGCCTGTAACCCTTCCCTAGGATCAATCGGGGATCACCAGTGGACCTCTGACAACGGCGTGATGACTGCCTATAGAAGACGGGGGTCAACCGTCGTCCCAGCCGGGTGCAGCTGGTTTAGCTGCAGGAGGGTGCGTCGTTGGCGTTTTCGGCAGAGCGACACAATGTGGAACGGAAGTTGTTTTTGTTCGAACCACCGAAAAGTTCGGGAAAATCCGCCTACGACTAGACTGGCTATCGCTAGGGTCACTCCTGTACCTGCAACAAGATCGGCGAAACTCTCCGAGCAACAGCAACGGCCGATTTGTACTTCAGGTGGCACAGCACCCCCTGATCAAGGGTAGTTGCGCCGCAAACAGGGCAGTACACCGGCGGGGCAACGATTCGACGCAGTGTTTAGACCCGCGATTTTTGGGGGTTCTATCGGCTACAATACACGGAGTTGCGTCGAGTGCGGGTCCAGCGAGAGAAACGGGTTTCACACTTCAGGAGGGGAGAAGACGACCTACCAAAAAAGACTTTTTGCTGATGCCGGGTCTCGTGGCTAAGTGGCGGTAGCCGGATAGGGCCCAACTACAGACCAAAGTCTTACG